GGGGGGTTTGCCAGGATTCTGACTCTTTGTGAGCTTCATATATATTGACTCATTTGTCCCTTAATTGTCTTGGTAGTTTTCTAATAATAAGCCTTTGCTTCTCAAACTGATCAAGGCAGCCAAGCCTCAGCATGTTGGGCTCATTTCGTACTGATTGTAGCAGTGTGAGCAAGTATGAGAATTCCAACATCTGGACAGGGTTATTGATATTGATGCTAGGGAATTTGTAAAGGCCGTCCAAGAGCGAAGTCTCTGTCTGTTCGGGTGCGCCATACCGCTTATTGAGCCTTTCCCAAGCTTGCTGAAGGGTGATAACTGGGTGCTTAATAGGGCTAGGTGAGTGTTCTTTATTAATTTTGTAGATTCTGGTCCTAGCCATGCCCTCATGAGCCCGATCTCATCGCCTGGTGTTAGCCCTTCATTGTGGAGGGCGTGCTTGAATGCGTACTTCCACATTACGTACTCTTTCCCTAGTTTATCGAATAATTTCTGCATAACTTTGGATGCCAAATCTAACCTTCCTCTGCAGGGTTTTTGAGGATACGTTGGTGCTGCGGAGAGGGTGTAGCTGGGCGGAGGTAGTGCATTGCTCCCGAGAGTGGGGGCATGTCACAGGGCTGGCTGGTGATTTTCTTCAGCGTGTTATCTGCTGAGGGTATCTTGCCATGGTGCATACGAGGGGCCTTGTGAGTTTGGTCTGAATTCCTCTGCTTTTACATTAAGCTGAGGAGGCCTGACTTCTTGTGTGCTTACTCGTCGGGGGGGGTGTTCTCGTTATTTAGATTGTGTGTTGCCGGCTTCCTGGCCAGTTGGCATATCTGGTGGTCGAGATTCTCCTCAGTGGTTGGGCGTGATTGCGGCTCCTCGGGATGCTGTTTCCTGTTGACGCAGTAGAGACTCTAGCCTGGCCTGAGTCCTGGCAATCTCGTCCTGTAGCAGCTGACCTTCCTGCTGTGGATTCATCACCATTGCAGTTGGACCTATCCAGTGACCATCTGTGGTTTGGTTCGTTGGATTCAGTTGTATAGCTCCGGAGGGAAGATCTCGTGATCCAGATGGTGCAATGACGATTCTCTGACTGATTGGCACATCTGGTTGAGATTCTTCTTCCTATCCACTTGGTCTTGGGGAACTTGTGGTTAACCATGGTGCTCCCACCTACTCATGTCATAACATGCTCTGGTTGTCAACGTAGGCCTGTACGTGGTCATATGGGTTTGCAACTTCTAGCCTTTCCAAATTGCATGCGAAGGAAGTGTCTTCAGCCTCTGCCTGTAGGGCCGCAACTCTTGCCACGTTTCTGGCTGCCTCCTGTTCTCGTTGCAGAAGCTGAAGCCTGGCCTGAGCCCTGGCCATTTCTCCCTTTTGTTTGGCCTTCAGTTTGGCCATCTTGTCCTGATCCAGGGCCATATTTGCCATCTCTTCCTTTTGTTTGGTCTCCAGTTTGACCATCTCGTCCTTCTGTCTGGCCTGATCCAGGGCCATATTTGCCATCTCTTCCTTTTGTTTGGCCTCCAGTTTGGCCATCTCGTTCTTTAATAGCTGCTCTTCCCTTGTGATGCATAGATACCTTAGAGTGACGAGAGGCACCTGAGACCTGAAAAAGCTGTGATACTCTGCTGGGCTCCTCAGACTGTGGTGGCTGGGAGGCTTCGGACTTGGCCTTCTCCCACAGTGTCTCTTTCATGTGTAGCTTGACTTCAGGGAGGCAGTTATTTTCTTCTAGGAACCACTCACATTCCTTGTTTATTAGCCTGAGTTGTTGCATTTCCTTTTCGAGTGTTGGATCCCCTAGCTGCAACTGGACCTTTTTGAGACAGCACCCATAGTCTTTCCATTTGAAGAAAAACTTCAATGAACGAGTGCGTTCAGGAGAAAGCTCCTCTTTAGGCACTTGGCAGAGTTCCTGTAATTTCTCCCAGTTTCTTTCATGGTGTTCACGGAACGCCTTCCATTTTTATATCAGATGTGATCACATGACTTCTGTGGGCTTTCTTTGTTGCCTCAGGTCATAGGGTATCTGAGATGTCTTTGGCCTCACTGAAGCTTGGACATTAGTTTCTGTGTACAAGTCAAGGTTGGCTGTTTGTAGCAGTTCTCCATGGCTGGCTGGTTGGAGTAGCTCACCAAGGTTGGTTGGTCGAACCAACTCTTCTGAATCAATGGGACACTCTGCCATGTCCTAGTTATTTTGAGGTGAATTCAGTGAACTTCGCTCTTTGATTACTAGAAGTTGCTGCTTGTGGGTGTGGGTATTTCAGCGAAGTTCACTCTTTGACCACTAGGGGTCGCTACTTGCGTGCGTGGATACTTCAGTGAAGTTCACCCTTTGACCACTAGGGGACGCTGCTTGTGTGCCATATTTTTGCCAGATAGGTCTGCACAAAACCATACATTCTGGAGGCTCTTAAGGGCAGCCCCACATAGAATGTTTTGCAATAGTCAAGACGGGAGGTGACTAAGGCATGAATGACCATGAGTAGGGATTGTTCGTCCAGGAAAGGACATAAGTGGTGTATTCCGGAATCTGAACTAAGATGCTTTGTAGTTCTGGCCCAGACAGCATTAACTCAATGAAAATGGTTTTAAAACATATATTTATTGTCCGGGAATTCTAAGCAAAGACTTAGTATGCTGAAGATACATCCGGTGTTTGCATATCTGTCCATTTTCGTAGGTAAAAAGCAGTAATTCTCCATATCAGCTTAACGTGGTTGCAGATGCCATGCATGCATCCACATGCTGGTTACATAAAGGATTTTACAACCCTGGCATGTAACAGGATGTCCTGCAATAACTTTTAATTCCTCCCACTGACTAGATGAGCTACAGCATAGACTAATGACTGAACTACATTACCCATAAGCCATCTCTTAAGGAAACAGCATTTAACCCTTTAAATGCTAAATACACTAACATAGTTCTTAAGCTAACTGACTGGTCCAGCACATGGTGCACAATCCTCAGTTGCGCAAAGGCCCTCCTGGCTATGACTGCCCCCTGCTTTTCGAGTAGGAGTTGCAAGTCCAGGAGTATCCCCAGATTATGCATAGGGTCTGTTTGGGGTAGTGCCACCCCATCTAAGATCAAATATGGCAATTCTCCATGGGCCAAAGAACCCCAAACCCAAAGCCACTTGGTCTTGCCAGGATTCAGTTTCAACCGTTGCTCCCCATCCAGCCCCTAACAGCCTCCAGGCACTGTGAGAGGGACGTCACGACATCGCTTAACTCAGACATAGGCTGAGATATACAGCTGAGTATCATCAGCATATTGATGATAATCTCAGTCCATGGTGACGGATGATCTCACCCAACAGCTTCATGTAGATGTTGAATAGGAGTGGAGAGAGTACCGAGCCCTGCTGGGCCCCGCAAAGCAGTAGGCGAGGGCTGGATCTCTCACCTCCTATTAACATTGACTGAGAGCGGCCACAGAGGAAGGAGGTGAACCAGGATAGCACAGGGCCTCCACTTCCAACCCCCGAAGCCGCTCCAGAAGGATACAATGGTCAATGGTATTAAAAGCTACTGAGAGGTCAAATAGAGCAAGGATGGATGGACTACCCCATCCCGCTCCTACCAGAGATCATCCAAAAGTGTGACCAATGCCATTTCTGTCCCATATCCAGGCCTGAATCTTGACTGGTAAGGGTCTAGATAATTTGTTTCATCCAGAAACCTCTGGAGCTACCGCGCAACCACCTTCTCAACAACCTTCCCCAAAAAGGGAAGACTGGAGACAGGTCAGAAATTATCCAACAGGGTGGAATTCAGCAATGGCTTCTTGAGAAGAGGGCGGACCACAGCCTCCTTAAAGTGCTGGGGCAGTACTGCCTCCTGTAAGGAAGCATGAATCACTGCCAGAGTCCACCCACCTGTCACCTCCCGGGAAGCTTTCACAAAGCAGGAGAGACATGGGTCTACAACACATGTGCTTGCATACATATTCTCTAGGATCCCGTCCACTTCCTCAGGAGCAACAGGATCAAACCATTCCCAGAATTATAGCTTCTTTTTAAAGTTTTATTCTAACTGGTCACAGAATAAAAATAACTTTGTAGTGTACTGCCAGACTACCTTCTTTTTAAATGAGACATAAAGCACAGCAAGTTTGAGGATCCTTTTTGTCACCTCCTCCCTACAGTGTTGGATTAGTCCAGGGTGAGTTGTATTAGACAACCTGGAACATCTGTTTTCTTTCTTGGAGACTAGAAAAAAAATTCCCCTGCTCTTTAGCAGGGGACAAACTGATCTGCAAAATTGTTATTTTTGATGGCTTGCTTGTTTTGGAGAGAGCAACTGCTTTGAAACAGAGGTTCCTCGTTATGGAGTAGCTAAAATGCATCAAGATTTTAGGCAACTGCAGTGATGACATTGGCTAATCACCAAGTTAATCCTCTCATGTCAAAACCAGGCTTTTGTCTAGGAATTCCTTGATTTGTTTTAGTTCCCCTTCAACATAAAGAAGAGTCATTTTGAGAAACTTTGCAAGCAAATATTTTTCAGTGTTTCTGAATGAACAAAATTATCAGGCAACTAATAAGGAAAATATTGTTTTGCTATTTTTGTGAGCAATTTGGGCTGAAGCTTGGCATATCTATCACATAAAGTTTTGTGAAAGAAAACCAGTGTCTGGAACACAATCCCAGTTTAGAATTTTTTAAAAAACCTCCTGTGCCATGCAATCTATGCTTTTTCCAGAAAAAAAAGCTGACATCTTGAGCAAAATATAACACTTCAACAGGGACGCCTTGTAATGTTGTTTATAGTCTTATAACAAATGTGCATTTCTTAAAACAAAGCAAAATGATACTGGTAAACTGATTCACACATTATTATTATTTTTCAGTTGGAATGAACTGAAAAGAGATTTTTTTCCCCCAATGTTGCCTATGAAAATCAGCATTTATGTACTACTAAAATGCCTAAAGCATAAACATTATTTCAGGAAGATATGGTATCAGCTTGGTGACAAGAAAAAGATTTCATCCAACATACCAATCACTCTGATAAAGATACTTTGTTCTTCTTTCTGTCCATGATAGGTATCCGTGGCCTCACATGCATATAGACCCTGATCATTTGAGTCTGCATTATGAATGGTTAGGATAGAACTAGTATAATGTCCTGGAACAATAATTGTCGCAGGTTTTACCTCTTTGCCTACCTGTGAAAAACAGTAAACATAATGCAGTGGAAGTAATACTCAATACTAATCCATTCAGCATTTCCGAAGCTCAAACAACAAGGAACATAACCATATACATTCTCAAATAATTAAATGGATTTATTTTTCATTTAGGGAAATATATTTTCTTTACTGTGTCTATGACAATTGTTCCTCTGTTGTTAGTATAATGTCTGATGGTTACATGGCAAACCAGCACATATGACACGTAAGACTTCAGGAGAAAACATACCAATACCAAACCTGAAATATATATGATAAAGTCGCAGTATACCTTTTCCCTCCTCAAGAAGCAGGATGATAGTTCTCTTTTGTAGAACACTTCTTTGATGAGGATATTTGATAATAATAAAAAAATATAAATCTGCTACTCTGGATGATAAAATGCACATCTTTCTCAGCCTCCATGTTATATTTTTAAAAACAAACATGAGTTGCAGCAGAACGTCTGTGTTGATATTGCAAGGCAGTATTCCAATCTCAAGTACACAGAGGAGAAGTGAAGAAAAAATGTCCCTAAATTGCAAATAATTTGCAAAGAGACAGAGCTGAGAAGATGCTACTAATTTCTGGAACTGAGCTTTAGGATTTGGGAGATATGCCTTAAAGCATTCTGCTTTAAGGATCTGGGAGCTCTCTTGGATCTTGCACTCATGCTGGACAGTCACATAACTTCAATGGCAAGGAGGGCCTTTTATCAGCATTTGCTGATAATCCAGGTGCATTCCTACCTAAAGGAGAAAGACTTGGTTTGGGTGAGTCATGTGATAATCTCAAGGTTGGAGAATTGTAAAGTTGTTGTTTAGCCAATGCTTGAAAGTGGGTCCAGAAATAGTTGTTGGTCAGAATGCAGAAGCATTCTGGTTGTCCACAATAACCCACCTGTTGAAATCACTTCTTGCTGGCCGTCTTCTGAAGCCAATTCAAAATGTTCACAATGGCATATAAATGCTTACATTGATCAGACTAAGCTACTTATTGGGCTATTTCTGTATAATTGACCATTATTCTAGGGGCATAAATATAATTAACACCAACAGCTGATTAGGCTTTTCCTGTGGTGGGGCCAACATGAATGGATTTGCTAGAGTTATGATGCACATTTTGTCATTATTGTGATTAGAAAAGAATGTTTGCAGATATTTCTGTAATAATTTAGAAAGGAAATGTCTTTGTTTTGCTTTGATGGCCAAATGTTCAATTGCCATTCTGCAATAATGTCTAAGCATACTTCTGTAGAGAAAACATCTCAGAGTCTATTTTATTTCCTATGACTGAAATAGAACTCTTTATTGGCCAAGTATGATTGAACACACAAGGAATTTGTCTCTGGTGCATACGCTCTCGGTGTACATACAAGCAACAGGTGATAAATCATTATAATCATAATACAATCATCATGAATCATAAGATACAACACTCAGTGATAATTATTGGCAATGAAAATGAAGTGAAGATGGCTGTGGCCAGAATCATTATAAGATAATAAATAAAACAATCAGCATAAATCATAACAACAAAGTGATAGTCATAAGATGCTAAAGGAATAGGTAATAGGACAGATAAAGATAATAATAATACAGCCCTACTACATGGTTTGATATCCTAGGGCATAAAATAGTGTTGTGGGAATTAGAAAACACAGGCACAAATGCAAACACTCACATGAATGTGTGTGTGTGTGTACATACATGTACAAAGATCCATGTCTACTTGCTTACCATTTGTCCAGGATAACTCCAGGTATAACCAATCAACTCAATACCTCTTACTGTACATGTCACAATGATATTTTCACCTTGTTTCAAAATAGTTTGCACTGCACTGATAGAAATGTTGATTAAGGATGTAGGAGAAGAAGAAACTGTGGAAGAACAAAACAGCGAATAGGGAAGAAAGTTAGCTCACAGCAACTTATATAGAAAAACAGTTGCAACAAGCTCAATCAATATGCGGCTATCTCAGTATGAGAAAATTGTTTTCTGTTGGACAATTTGAAAACTCCAATATTAATAAAGCATAAGATGTTAACACTGAATAATAACTACCCCAGTACAGGACTACAACAAGAAACCCTACAGTGGAGTGCTTGATGCTCTCTGGGTTTGGTTGTTTTCTTGAAGATGTTTCATTATCCAACTAGGTAACACCCTCAGCCTGATTATGTTACCTAGTTGGGTAATAAAATGTCTGCAAGCAACAACGAAGCTCAGAGAGCACCAAGGACTCCATAATTCAACCCTGAGATAGATACATTCTCTTCTATTAGAGCCTAAAGTCTTAAAATCTTGTGGAGAACAGGGCAAAGGCCTTGGCCTGGCACTGAACTTAACCACAATGGAGATATCAGTATGTTTCTGCTCTGGCAAATCAACAAGGTGACCTGATCTGACCATTCCCTCAACTTCAGATTGAGAGACAATCAGAAAAATAAATTCACATTACAATAATCAGAGAAATGCCCTATATGCAAAGCAGCTTAAATATTATAGCTCAGATGAAACTGATCAGCCTCCTATAACAAACATATCAGCTCTGCTCAAGTGTCAAAGAGTAGTCCATCATTTTGGCAAGTAATGATCTAGCTTCCACTGCAACCTGTTCACTTCTCAGTTGTTTAATGAATGTGTTCTCCTTGAAAACAGAAGTATTTTTTTCCAAAAGAAGATGGATCACTTTGCAAAGCTTGCCCAAGATTTTTAGTGAAGCAGATACACAAGACCTGTCATTTCCACCCACCAGAATGATGTCAGAGTCTGCTTTTTCAAATGAGCATAAGCATTTTTAAAAAAAACAAAAAACAAATAGGGCTTCTCTTCTGTGTGGCATTCCCGTTGTTGGGTGGCGCAGAGGCTAGAATGCAGTATTGCAGGCTAATTCTGCCAACTGCCAGCAGTTCGATTCTGACCGGGTCAAGATTGACTCAGCCTTCCATCCTTCCTAAATGAGTCACATTGTTGGGGGCAATATGCTGACTCTGCAAACCGCTTAGCACTATGAAGCGGTATATAGCTCTAGGTGCTATTGCTATTGCACCCCTACCTAGGATGATGTTTTCATTCAGAAAACCCTTTCTGCTCCACACACTGGCTAATGCTATGTGTAATAGTGAAAACTTGTAAATATTGATCAAAGATTCACCTTGGAGGTTGTAGACATAGAATGTTTCAGATTCAAACTCTTCATCTTCTATTGTTGCCTTGCAGATGTAGGTCTTGTCTTCGAACTGGCCTTTAAAGCCTTGCTGTGGAAAATACATTCCAGGGACTGGATCATTAACCCTCTTTTCATAAAGAGCTACTGTAGCATTGGGATTTGTCACACGGCAAGGAATAATGACTTCATCGTAGCCTGTGCTGAACACAAATGTGTCTTCTTGGGTGCTTGGTAGGAAAGGCATGGAGAGATCTATGAACAAGAATGGAGAGAAGCTATTTGGTCATCGACTAGATTGATTGCCTCAAACAGCCTCCTAGATGCAGTAATAAGGGATATATTACTTGTGATCAGAGTAGCTCAGTATGGAATGGGAAGGAGGAATCCAACAGAGACATGGCTTGGTTCCCCTCTCTTACACTGTTGCGCAATATAATAGATGTGTGTGATGACCCAGGGCCCCGCATGGAGGCAGTCAGCTGACAAGAGAAACAGTCATTTAATAACTGCCAGTGTTCCCCAAAAGCTCCCACATATGCTGGCAAGACTTCAACCAAAGTGTGCACGCACACACACACGTTTCTTTCAGCTGCTTCTGGCTGAAGGCAATTTCAGTACAGCGAGAGAAGTATACAATATCCTCAATGCCAGACAGATAACAAGAAAACAAAACAGAAACTTAATGAGTCCTTTTAAATCTCAGCTTGCCTGCAGTCTGCAAGGAGAGACTCAGAAATGCAGTCTGTGGTCGTAAAGCAAACAAAGACAACACACAATTCACAACTGTCCCAAGATACCACGTTTGTTCCCGCAAATGCCCCACCCCACAGTGTCTCCTTAAATCCTAATCCCCAGGTGTGCCTTGTGGAGTGGGGCAGGATGCTCTCCTCCCGAGCAATTGAGCCTGCCTACGTTATTCTCCTCTCT